TTTTCCAGGAGCCACTTTGTGGAGGAAATGAAGAACTGCCTTCCTCTTCTCCAGGACAGAGGTTTCCACCCTTGCTGCAACTGCCCTTCAGTTTCTTGAACATCCCAATGTAACCAGAAGGTCGTACTGGTGTGTGCAGTGACACTGATTTTGCATTTTCGTAAGGTTAACCAACCAGCTGGGAATGCCACAAGGGAATGTGCCCTGAAGCAAACAATTCCTGGATGGCAAGGTGTGTGGGAGAATTTGGGCAGGTGCCTAGAGCAGTTTTCACCTCCAGTGGTTTGGTACTTCACTCCTGAACAGACGTGGAATCCTGTTGAATAGGCAGACCACTTGAAGGAAGGATGCCTTGCATATACCATAAAGACACAACTTCCAGCAGTGTGTTGGGGCTTGGGGGAGACTTATGCCTATGCTCAAAGAAATGAGAGGGTGTCTGGATCTGAGGACATACAAATGGATACTGTGAGGGTCTTTGGATCTGAGAAGATACAAACAGACACTGTGGCTAAATCAGAAACCCAACCCTCAACTACAACAGTCGTCCCTGCAGTCAAGAAGAAACAACAGAAGCATAGGTCAATCCAGTTAGTAGAGGAGAGCAGGAGGAAGAGATCATGGACTGGCCAGAAAGTAGATATTTTGAAGCATCACCCAAGGAGGTAACTCATGCCAAGGAGGTCCCACTGTATAATAAGTTATCAGAAAATGAAAAACAATATGCTTTATTTACTGATGGGTCCTGTCATATTGTGGGAAAACATTAGAAGTGGAAGGCTGCTGTGTGGAGTCCCACAAGACAAGTCGCAGAAGCTGTCACAGGCAAAGGCCAATCAAGTCAGTTTGCAGAAGTCAAAGCCATCCAGCTGGCCCTAGACATTGATGAAAGAGAGAAGTGGCCAGTACTCTCTCTCTATATTGACTCACAGATGGTGGCAAATGCCCTGTTGGGGGTGGCTAGAGCAACAGAAGCTGACTAACTGGCAGCACAGAGGTAAGCCCATCTGGGCTGCTGCATCGCGGCAAGACGTTGCTGCCCAGGTACAGAACCTCGTCGTAAAAGTACATTATGTAAATACTCACATGCCCAAGAGCCATGCCACCGAAGAACATGGAAATGAGGAGCAGGTAGATCAGGCTGACAGAACTGAAACAGCTAAGATGGACCTGGACTGCGAACATAAGGGCAAGCTATTCATAGCTCAGTGGGCCCATTTCACATCAGGACACCTAGGAAGAGATGCAATGTATAGATGGGCTCGTGATCAAGGCTTGGAACTGACCACTGAAGCCATTGAACATGTTATCCATGAATGTGAAACATGCACCATGATCAAACAAGTCAAGTCGGTAAAGCCTCTCTGCTGTGGAGAACAGCAGCTGGGAAAGACAGTGTGGGTTGCTCCTCCTTCAGGGAAAGGCAAACTCATTCGTGGGGTTCCTTTTGCTCATGGGCCAGGGTGCACTTGGTGGGTAATGCAGGAGGATGAGGAAACCCAGTGTGTACCTCAAGGAGATTTAACCTTGTGGGAAAATAATCCATGATTTGAGTTGTATGTCATAGCTGTGTGTCAAAGTACTACAGCAGGAGCCACTAAAAAGAACTGAGGATGAACCTTGTACAGAACTGAGCAGGACACAACTGGTTTCAGTGCTCAACAACCCAAACCAATACACCAGCTCTTCTTAAGGCTCTATTTGTCCTTTTTTTTGATCTTTTCCAAATTATCTCCACTTTACATTTCTTTATGCAAAGTGCACAAGTCCGCTCTTGGAACATGCACTAGGCGCTAACATTTCCTTACTCTTACATAGCACTAACTAGAGCAACATAAGTGTAGTAATTTCAGATTTCCACTACTGTAAATTAGAAGATCAGGTTCATGTGTCTGATAAGTCTGAAATGCAGACTCTCTTCTCACACACTTACAATGTTATAGCAATGTCACTAAGATGAAACAACAGATTGTAAAGTCATAAAAATATGTAAATTATCATAGTGTCAGTGCTATCACATAGCATGGATTATCAGTAAAATGATTTGTTGCGTGCTCACAGCTCTTATCTCGTTCACAGGAAATAAAAATGGTTCTTGCTGGGTACTTTATTTCAAAATCCATTAGCAGAACTTGTTACTGAATCATTGGGGAGTGCATCTCAGAAGACTGAGAAAAGGACAAGATAGATTAATGATCATATTTGCGATTACATCAACTCAGAAACATTTCAAGGTCTTGCTCATACTTCAAAACATGGAGTTTGTCTGTTGGTACCAAAAGGATCCCTCCCCCTGTGGTACAAGACAATTTGTGAACCAGTAAGCATTGGTCATCTTTTTGTACCTTTCTCCCCTCTTACACCAGCTATCACATGTTCAAATGTTTGACACCAACCCATTTTGGATATTTACTGAAAACACTGAAGACAAACTTCCTCTATACTGCAGTTACATTCTGAAAAGTGATTACTTCAAATGGTAATGTCCTAGCCAGCAAAATCTATTCTGAGATAATACCCTTGTGTGCACTGCTGAGGTTTGCTACTACAGAGAAAATGTGGAGGCAAAACACCAAACAACTATTAATGTTTTTACTAACACATAAAACTCAGTATGGCTATGAACATGACACTGAGTCATGGCTTGTACACCATATGCTTGTGAACTGCTACTGAAATAACACAAACAAAATGAAAAGTGTACCTATTTCGCTTTGTCTTGTCTAGCCCTCATACATTTAGAGGAACAGCAATGGATCTGACCAGTCTGTATTGTAAGCAAGTAAGTCTGTACTGTCCATAACAATGTATAAGCCAGAATACATAGGCAATTTCCTGGTGAGGCTATATAACAGGCAGGCAGAAAAACAGACAGTGTTTGTTAACGGAGCAAATTGTTTTAGAAATTGCCTGGACACAAATCAGGAATGATAAGCTACAATTTTCACTGACTCAACTAACAGAAAACTCAGTGGGTATTTCTTTGGTTTAAGTTATTTAATAGTGATTTTTTTTTTTTTTTAGTTATTTATGTCAAGATAAACATATGAAAACACTCACTGTGGAAATGATAGAGACAAGATGTGCAATGTCTGCTGACTTCATCTAATTGTGGTATTTTACTCCTCTTCCCAGCACTGACCTCCTTTGCCTCCTGCCTAATGTTGTGCCTCCACTCTATCACCAATGAATGTTGGAGATCCTGCACATAATTGTTCCTTCATCCTAGAAAATACAGTTTCTTTCAAAGCATGTTTGCTCTTTAAAGATGTTCATGCAGATAGTGAGGTCTAGTAATAGGATTAACTCTGCTCAACCAAAACGGCTATCAGCTGAGCAGATGGATTAACGAGATCATCTCACATGTTGCATGACATCTTCTTCCTTGCTAATTCCAAACAGCAATTTCTAAGGCTAGGTTAAAACATGCTGTAACGACAAGCTGAAACAATAAGAAACAACAGCTTAGAACCTTGTATTTCCCAGGCAAACTAAAATCACACAGAACAATGTAAATGTTGTTATTTGTAAGTGAGAGCTGCTCCACAAGTGAGCATCAAAATCCCTTCCATGTCCCAGATACATTTCTTTAACTGATATTTCTTACCTGGAAGTAGGAAGATACAAGTTACACTGCTGAGGTAAACAAGTAAGGCCAATACAAAGCATATGGGAGGGATACTAAATACCTCGCTTCAAGAAGCCAGTTAGCTGCTGCATTATACCCGATCTGTTTGTTGCAGAGGATCCTAAATCACTTCTTATGCACTTCCTACATTAAGCCAACAATTGCACTGCAGTTGACAGGTTCTCAGCAGATCTGAACGATCCACCAGCCAGAAGCAGCTTTGTTACAGCACTGCTGGGTCTGGCAGGGACTGAGTTAGAAGCAGCATAGATGTCACCATGTAGTCACAAACCCACACAATACCCACATTTACTCTGGTCCAGCTATTATAACCACAGACTCTCTTCCCTATTTCATTCTCCTATTGAATTCACTGACAAGCCTTACCCAATCACTTCCTGATGCAGCCAGGGTGGTCCACGAAACCTCCCTTTCTCCCACCAGCCAGTCTAACAGGTATCTCAAACTTGCCTCCTGAAGGATGTACAAGTCACATGGCTGAAATATGAAGAGATGGAGCAAGGCAGAGAGAGCTCAGCTGTGCTCTTGACAACATTTTGTCCAAAGGTGAGTCCAAGTTCTGGGAAGATTCTCCCACACTACAACAGGGCCCAAGACTCAGGGCTGCAGCATACCATGCTGGCTAAGCAGGAGAGTAAAACATGTGCATGGTGCCTTTCTCAACATATCAGTCCAAGGCTACCACTTCAGCTTGCACTTAGCAGATGGAGAAGTTATTGCAGCTTACACCATCAGAGAAACCAGCACAACAAGATTCACGGGCTCTTATCCTTAGCAGTCTTTCAGCAGAGGGAGACAAGTCTCAAGTTGCTTTGCTTTAGGTAAAAATAAAATTATTCTACAGTTGAAACAGCAATAGTTTTCATTTATCCTAGAGACTCTGATTCCATAAAGGCGCTCTGAGCATAAATGAAATTTAGACTATGACAGCAGCAGAGAAGGAGCTTAATTACAATATAACTCAATCGAGCCAATGTGCTCATTTACTGTGCCAAATATCTCCTTCTGAATTTTTATGCTTGGACTAGACCCAAGTAGCAAGAAAACCATAAATCCTCAGCTTACAGTGGTCTCACAAGGGACTTTACCACCAACAGGTTGTACATGAAGCATGTGACATTACAAATTCTTACATTCTGGAGGGAATTCACTAGCTGAAGACAACCTTAGGATTTACAGATGAATGATCTGAATTTTCACTGTATGATCATTACCTGCTCCTATCACCCCAAACTGCCGCCATTAATTCAGATTCTATTACAGAAAGCTCAACAGCAAGTCCCAGCTTTTTTTAAATGGCCAACAGGGTACACTAATATACTGTCTGCTGACAACAATAACAGCTACTTACTCCACAGTACCGATCATCACTGAATATCTGTGGTGGCAGTGGATTGCCTTGCGCGGGCTGCCTGTCCTCAGGAATATTTTTATACATCCATTGCCTTTTCTCCTCCGACATTGTGATATCCACTTCTTCAAACTCTATGCGATTGGCTTCCAGAAACCTCACCACATCTTGTTGCCTCTTCTTTATCTAGATGAAAGAAAGGGAAAAAAAACAATACTCAGAGCAAGTCCACCATAACACAGACACACTTACAAATCTGAGAACATTCCTTCTCTCCCATCCCCCTTTCATGGGATGAGAAGTCACAAACTCAGGAAGACAAAGGAGAAAATATTATTTTCAGTTTTAAGTTCATAAAAGTTAAACATTGTTGTTTCTTTACAAGTTGGCAAAAGTTGTAATTCCCTATCTCATTTCTAGAAGGCTGTCTCTTTAGTTCATCTGTGGGAATTTCAGCCCTTACTCTCTAAAGATGCTTTAAAAAAATAATTTGAATGGGACTCTTTGGAAGTAGGAGTTAAAAAAGGTAGCTGGTTTTCAAAGTCATTAAGGCCAACATTTTTGAAGTATACAGGCACCTAGAAATGCAAAGTAAGCAACCTGGCAAGCCCAAGAATTTACTCCTGGAAGTGTTCATTGAGGCAAAAGTGTTCGTACATCTAAAAAAACCATCCCTGCTACACACTGGGGTGTGTTTTTGTTTTCCTAGACACCTTCACGTCTTTTAAAAATACAGCTTGATGGTTCCCTGAACAAGGCTTGTTAAATCTTTAATTAAGAGCGTCTGTCTGCATAATACACATGCCTAAAAATAAGCGTGATCTCATCTCTTGAAAATTAACTTCATTGCAAAAAAAATGCATGAGGTTTGTACTAAATGTATGGGGTTTCTGCCCCTCAAAGAAACTGTCGTCTTTAAACAAAAGTCTAAAAGAGGCTGAACACTGGCAGCTTTTAGCTTGTTGTAGCTAACTAAAATAATGTCTTAAGAGCAAGCTGGGCTTCAAGCAGATACACTCGGGTGAAGACTACTTCTGCCTCCAACAGGGCTTTATATCAAGATAGCAACCTTGGAAATGAAAGTCTGTGGGGCCGAGGAAAGCCACCTGGGCTCATTCAGCTAGGTCTTCAGTCCATGCTGTACTTTTTGCATCTACTTAATGAAATTAATTCTTTCAGAAAGGAACTATAAATTACATGCTGTCTTTTTTTACAGCTATAATCAGCAGCTCCTTATTTGAAGAAAAAAAAAACAGCTTTAATAATTTTGCAGTATTCGTGGAGTGTCAGATCCACGCAGTTGCTGACTGGCATAAAGCCCAGGTGGGTGAATCATGCCCATGGGCATCATATGACCTAGATACTATTTGGAAATCAGAGGATTTCCAAAATGCATGTGGTAGTTGCTCTTGTCACACAACCCATTCTGTCTAACTAAATGCACCGCAAAAATACATCACTTTTGGAGGTAATGCTGATGGAATCATTGTTTCCTTGAAATAAGACAATAGCCAACCCAAGAAACTGCAAAGACAAAGCTCTTAAATGATTACTGTCTGTCTTAGGAAGTGGGCTGCATAGTAAGTTTTTGTTTCAGTGTCTTATTCTTTTTCCTGTTACTACATATACTGATGGGGTTTTTTAGGCATATGTGAAAGGATCACTTTTACAAACAGAAGGCAGCTCCTAAAACTGTGTGCAAATAATGCATTGTCAACAACAGCAAAATTACTGCATCATCATCACTGATGGCAGCAAAGACAACACACCTTCTACTGTCTCCCTAAAAATTGCAAAGACAAATTCTGTTGTCAATGTAGAAGTGAAAGATGAAAATATTTTCCTCTGTCTTTCACCAAAAAAAACCTGCATGTCTTTGACCAGAAAACACCCGCAAAAGAGGCCCGAGACACAGAGACTGAGATTTTCTTAACACAAATATTAAGTATTTGTTCAAACAGAAATAAGATGTCTGAAATGATGTGTGGGAGAGGTCATTTCCTTACAAGTACTGCTCAAACCACTATGAATTCCCTTCTTGCACAGGTCAGAGCAAACTAACAAACCTTGAGGCCAAATGGCATCATCTGGCCAAGTCTATTAAACCCGTAGCCTCTTAGAGTGGCTGCATGCAAACTGTACATCGGGAATGATCCCTGGCACGCTGTAACATCTAAATCATGGCCACAAATTGTTTGTGAGACTAGGTTAGCCTCGGCCAAAGCTGTCTGTGCCTGCAACCGTTCTTCTAAGAGTTTCACAGTACCAGAGAGCTTCACTGCTCAGGCCCAGGCCACATACCAGCACACATGTATCTACATGTACCCGTCTTCCAGTAGCCTGTACACTGGGCACAAGTTTAACTGCAACTCAGAATTAATCAGATCCCTAATATTTTACTGGTCACACCATGAGAATTCTCCCACAAACGCACATTTCCTAATCTCTCCTTTTTATTTTTATAAAACTAATTAAGATGTTGAAGTGAAATACATTGTTTTGTTTTCTAGCCAGAAGCTTTGCAATTCTCCACACGACATCTGCATGAGTTATCAGCTGTGGACGTGGCAGCTGCACAAATGTAAACAAAATGCCCTGAAAGTTTTTAGCCAAACAAGTAGCATCTCCTCTGTAAACTGGAACAAGAGTATTAGTTACATTAAAAATCCTTTTAAATTACACCTATTTGTTTAAGATTGATGCTCAGAGTACCTGTCGCAACAGAGTCCAGCTGGTTATTCCCTAGGAAAACCACAGGACTTTGTCCTCCTCTACAACTGGATCTGTGCCGCAGGAGTGCGTCAGCCTCACAATCCTGCCTGCAGCTCTCATCTCTGGTTACTCTGAGCTCTAAAAAATTCCAGCGTTCGACCACATGAAACACTGAGCAAAGACACCATGGCACAAAGAGCAGTGTCAGCTCTCCCTTCCTCACCAGCCTACACAGAGGATCTGAGCTCCTGTCAAGAGCCCAGTAGAGAAAAACACATCCTCATTTGACAAACTATGGAGGTGGATACTTCAGTCCTCTTTATGAAAATTAGCCTTGTACCTTGCTGCTTCCAAAGTTCCCAGAGTGTGACACAACTGAAAGGAACCTGAAAAGTGTATTCATATAATCACAGGTACCATGTTCAGAAAAACTTGGTTCGTGGTTTTGGGAAGGCATCCACAAACTTTCCCACCGCTTTGGGAAAGCATCTGTATTCTTACAGGATAGACTGCTTTAGCATCAAAATACTTTGGTTTTAATATGCTTCAGCACACCAGAAGGCACTGCAAGATATACCATCAAAATATATATCCATTGTGAAGTTTCAGAGGAAAACACATCCCCCACTTAATTTTGTATTCCATAAAGAGACCGCAGCTTCCATATGCATCCCATTTATCTCATCTCAAACAGGCAATTAGATGTTGATTTTTTTAAATTTTCCTTGTAGTCATGAAAGATTATTAGCTATAAATACAACCAGAAACAGGCAACATCACCTCTTTTATTAAGCAGTGGCACTGACTTCGACACAAAATCAGTGGCTCTTTACATAATGTGATCCTAATCTAACTTTAACATGGTGAAGAAAACTGATAGAGCTAACAGTCTACTACTATAATTCTATAATAAATTTTTCCCAATGAGGATGGTGAAACGCTGGCACAGGTTGCCCAGAGAGCTGGCAGATGCCCCATCCCTGGAAACATTCCAGGCCAGGTTGGACAGGGCTCTGAGCAACCTGGTCTAGTTGACAATGTCCCTGCTCATTGGAGGGAGGTTGGACTAGATGGCCTTGAAAGATCCCTTACAACCCAAACTATTCTATGATTCTATGATTTTGACATACAGAACTGCTAAAATGAGCTAATCACTTATTCAGTAGCTCAATTTACAAAGAAAGTCTATCGCAGCTAAAGTGTTCCAGCTTTCTCCCCTAGTTTTCATTTCTGTATACTGATTTGCAACAGGAAGGATATACTTTCAGGCTACTTTGGAGAAATACTTCAAAGACAGGCTCAGGCCAGGCCAGGTGGGACCAGTGGAATTATCTGTTTTGACCTTCAGCATCCCTGAGTTAATTCCTCTTAGGAGTAAAGAGTTTCTTTGGATTTTTTTCTCCCTTAAGCTCTATTCCTAAATTGATAATAACAGAGAATCTGCCAGTCTTTGAAAATAGTTCCCATAGTTAATCAACTGCCATCACTTAAAAAATTTGCTTTCTTCTGTTCAGAATTCACCTCTCTTCCAGCTTTCAGCTATGTTACTTTTTATACTTTTGGCTAGACTGAAAACTCTTCTGTTATAAGATTTCTGTTTCCCACACAACTAATATGGCGGGTGGGAAACAGATCTCCCAGCTAACCTGAACAGCGATCTCCAGTAAAAAGATAAATCCTACCGCTCATTTAATAGCAGAATAAGGATGTTACCATCATAAATCATGTCCAGACTGCACCAGAAGTTTAGGAAAATCAGATCACATCCTCTATATCCAAAATTCCCTGGAAGCTTCTCATCGCTTCCAACAGGTCACAATTTCCTTCTTCCCCCCGCCGCTCTGTGCTTCTTGAACCTATTTTCAGAAGATCTTCTGTACTAGAAAGGCTTGCCTAGTGACAGCTGCTGAAACAGAGGAGCATATCATGTGGTCTCTCCGTTACTAAATGGCAGCAGTATTTCATTCTTCTATACTATGTTAACCGAGATAACTGCAAAAATCTCACTAGTCCAGGATTTATCTAACCCAGATAGGATAAATGAATACTACTTTGACTACACTATAGGCAAGATGACTCAAGTAGCAGTATTAATAGGAACTGTGAAATGGCCATGATTAAGAAGAACTTCTCTGCCTTATTTCATTAGCCCAGTTAATACAAATGGGACATAGCAGACACGTTCTCAGTTTCAAATCCCTTCACAGTGTCTGCAGGCATGTTACTGAGTGTCTGGTACCCACAAAGTGGACACAAGAGATTGGTCTTCTGCTCCGGACTCTAACCCCCACCTTCTGGAGATAAGGTGTTCCCTGGGCTTCAGTCCTCCTGCCTGCAAGCAGAGGGAATGACAGCAGGTACCATTCAGGGCACTGACTGGTGAGTGAGATGTGTAGCACTGCCTGTCGTATGGTCTCTTCGTCCTGCAGCTGAAGGGATCGAAAGCCTAACCTGAACTGTCCGCTCATTGCGCACAGATCTCCAGAACAAACAGCCTGCTTTCT